TTTAAAAATATTTAAAACAATTGTCATTAATCATTGATCAAAATTTATGGATTATTAATTTTATTAATTTAATTGTGGTACGGGAAGTTCCAGCAATTTGCCTTAAGGCACGATACCATGCGCTCAACTAGTTCAATCTATAATTTGATTTTTTACGTTTGGTGGGAAAATGTGGCGCAAGTGGAAAAGTATTGGCTCAGCATCCACAAGATTCCGAGTTAGAATGTTCTAAGTACAAACTGGTAATAATCACAAATTATAACTAAATTTCACTTTTAGTTGTAGTCCAAAATTGCCTCCGAAAGGACTTTTCGGCCATTTTTGCAAATATACCACTATTGAAGAGAGAACCTAATTCTCCTCAGCTTTCTAATAAAGGTGGGTAGCAGAAATACATCATCCAATAGCTCATAGAACACTGAGAATACTTCTAATTCTTCACAAATAATTAGAAAAAAATACAATAAAATATTTCGGATAAAATAAATCCATCTATTTTGCAATTGCATTAAAATTTATTTATCTTCAATCAGTTTGGCTATGCACTTAATAAGATCTAGTTATTTATTAATGAATCATTTTAAAATAATTCTAATATTTTATTTGGCAAGGGTTCTTTTAGTTTATTAGTTTAAGAAGATGTCGAATGATTATCGATTATAGCGCTGTTGTCACGTTGAGCAAGCGCGTTTACAGATTTGATACGTCGATAGCACATGTCTTTGTTAAATATGAATTTGACCATTTGGGGAATGGCCATTAATCACGTGATCGTTTTTCGTGCCATTTAAACCCCTTTTTAACCACCCTCCGCCATGTTGATATGTGCTGATATTTAAAGCTACGCCCTTTTCCAACACTCAACGCCACGTGTATTTTAGTACATACAGATATCGTAAAATTTTTGGCAATCTAGGAAAAATATAAATATTTAATTTTTTTGTTGGTTTAAATAACTGGGCCTTTATCGAACTGGCTCCTCAAATGGAATTTAAATTGTTGAGTTAAAATTAAATACAATTAGAAGTAAGAAGAACATTAGATTTGTGAGAAGATTTAGAAAAAAAAGAATGAAGAAATCTGTGAAAAGTCTTGCTGGAGAAAAATTAGATAGAAGTAATAGAATAATAATATAATAAGGAATGTTGTAGATAGCTTAATGCTCGAAGTAGCAACGCTAATGAATAAGTAAACTAGCTAAATTGCTGGAACGTCCCGTACCGTAATTAAATATTCGAAGAATAAAATAATCAGTCAACAAAAATGTCTATGAACAAATATGAAAAAAACTAAAATTTTCATTATTTGTTTCTTGTAGACAAAATGTGAAAACTTATTAGATTAGATGACGTTGTTTATATATGTTTGAACGAAATATATATAAACAAAATCTAATTAAGCGGACTTATTGTTAGAATGAACATATTTTATTTCAAATGCATCCATTTTTCGTTCGCGAAATATATGCACTGAGTTAACAATTTTAAATATTTCATGCAGCATCAACTATACAAACATAAAAAGTATAAAAAATATTACAGAGGTGGAATTCAAACCAGATCATTTTGACTTTCTTATCTACAAACGAGAACGAAAATTGCGGTGACGCGCCAACCAACTCAGCTATAACGACAAGCTCACGCACAACGCTATTAGCAGATGTCTAGGATCTAATCGGAATTTCTACACTTTTTGCTCTGTATCTTCAAAACGGCTGGACCTGCCTATACCTAACTAATCAGTATGTCTCCACATCAATACGAATCGAATGTTTTTTGAATCATTCAAATCGGCCGATTTGTTCTATCAGAACCTTCCATTTTTTGCACTTTTTGCTCCATATCTTCGAAACGGCAAGACCTGCCTTCGCCACAAACTAATCAGCACAAAGTTATCAATACGACTCGAATATTTCGTGATTTTTTGTCAACCCCCCCTCCCCAAAACCTCACGTGATTAATAGCGCCTCCTTAGGTCACTTTCGCTTCAGTCTTTCATTTCTTCGGATTTTCAGAATGTATTGGGCGCATGGATTTGGGTGGTTTACGATTCTTTTATCATAATTGTGCCTGTGTTTTTTGAATTACTCGTGGACAAGATATTGAGGTCTTTATATATGGTCTTATTTAGTACATATTTGAGAGCGTTTATTATTTCTTGGAGAAGATGTGCCCCACCAGAAGTGAACTTCATTCGTCCAAGGGGTACTTTGTACAGCAGCAACCTGTTCGATGAGTTTAACTTAGATTTTTGTTTAATAGCCAATATAAACTGTCATTCTCTTTATATCGTACAAAACAATATTCAAAATCTAAGGTCGATTGAAGAGTGTTTATTTAACATATAAGCAAAGAATCAGATCTAAAGTGAGAGCTGAACGTAAAGTCGTTTACAATATAATAATCCATTACTAGTACCAGATTTATATACATGGACTCCACGTTGAAGCCATATTGAAGCATAAATTATTCACGGTCCACTGCCATAAACATAATACAAATAATAGCCAAACATATTGCTATTATTTCATTGTTGTGAAAACTTGGGTAAACAATAATTACCAATGGCTGACTAACCTTCTGGTTTTTAGACTAGTAAAAAGATAAAAAAAGGAGTTAACTGTGGAACTAGACTAGAATACTGAGTTTATTGGGCCCTTGATAAAGGATTTTGTTAATAATAATCATAGATGTTAAAGTAGGCTCAAGGTATTAGGTAAAGGGCTGAATTTCTAGACCGTTGGGCTGAAATAAATATATATAGAAAAATATATCACTTTTGTAGTTTTGTCCATAGCTTAAGAGCCAAATTAGGATTCGAAACGAAGGGAAATCGATTGAAATATTTTTTAATAAGATAATTTAGGTGTCTTTCATTTTTTATTATCTAGAGTCTAGATATCCAGATTCTAGATGGATGCCTGGATAAGTATTTAGTTTCATTGTTTCCATCAACATATATAAATTGAAAGATTTCCAACATAATATATATAATATATTGATTACATGTTATTCCAAAACTATATATATATATATATATATATACACGTATATATATATATATATATATCATGTATTGATCAGTATGCAGGATTACGTTAAAGAATGTAATAGGATTACAATAATTATGACAATGTATAGACAAGTGATTATGCATATGCATACATATATACACACACATTATATATATATATATATATATATATATATATATATATATATATGTTGAAAATTGTACTTTTTGTAATTGTTTACAAATTGCCACTACAATGAATAGATTACATTCCCACTGTCCCTATCTACTTTCTAGTGAAAGTTAATTTTTAAAGTAAAAGATAAACGCAAAATTACCCACTAATTATAACACTATAAATAATATATTAAAAAGACAATAAAAAGGGCATTCTGGTATTTTTGATAAAATTGCAAAAAACAGATTAATATAAATATGTACTTTTACCATCAGCATGTAAGTAGTCGGTGTTATTTGCTACGACTAATGTAATTAACTAATTAATTAACTTAATTAAGAACATAATAAACAAAAATTTGCTGTATTCGTCAATTTAAACATTTGGTACTTGAAGATATGAAATACAGAATTTGAAGAAATATAATACAGTAATTTTTATCAGAATAAGAAGTAATAACATTAATTATTCATCTAGCAAAAAAATCGATTGTTGATGCCTCTGGAAACAGTTTTAGAGCCATTATGTTATTGTATATAAAAAACTGAATTAACAGGTAGATAATAGTGTACGTAGATGACACTGTAATATTATATACAAACAAAAACTTAAAAAAGGTTGAAGACCTAATACATTGCAAAATTATACACGAATGGTCGATGGAAAACCAATTATCAATAAAGGTAAAACTAAATACTTAAATTTATTTTCACCAAAGCAGAATAAATGAAAATGGTAAATAGTAATTTCGTATGGAATGATCAAATTGAAAAAATAAATAATACAATTGAAACGTCTTTTTTAATATAGAAATAGCCGTTATTTAATATTTTGGTCTGTGTTTATTTGTAATGGCTGAATCGATTTTTACAAAAAAATTTAGGTGCGTAGCTGATTTTATAGGGTGCAACTTAGGCTTCTTTTATTTTAGAATAAAAGTATATAATTTTGATTTATTCTTTAATCTAGTGTTATTAACATTATTATAATTGGCTGGCCATGCTCTAACTGGTGATGTTTTGATTAGACATTTTTGTTATAATACTGATATTGCAGAAATTCTCCATAGAGGCTATTTTCAGTTTATATATTTTCTAATCTAAAAATTTAGCTTATTTTCTAAATCCAACTTCGACAAATAGATTAAATGACTTGAGAATACTAAAATGCAATTGTCCAAAAAATCGAGAAATGTTTAAATCTAAAAAAATTTTGAAAAACAAGTATATATAATCTGTATTTTATAACATTATTGATTAAATGCAATAGATGAGAGGATAATATTTGTATTCAGAAACATATGGCTTACAATTAGTGAAATGAAATGAAATAAATAAAAGAAATACTAATGAAACGTAAATGAACAGAAAAATAATTGATGTATTTTTCAGACCAAGTTGGTTTTCGGCACCAATTAGTAACGGTAACAACAAGTGAATAACCAGTCTAAACGCACTTGGGTAAACATTTGTACCAGAGCGGCGCTTAGACTGTGCTTAGCCTGGGAAATTTTTTGAATTTTTAATTCAAAATTACAAAAATAGTTTATGGAAAATGAAAAAAGATGTAATAATTTTTTATCCTCAAAAGCAATTGTTTTGTCAATACAAGCAGAAAGTTTTTTAGATCATTCAAATCGGGCGCTAAGTTCACTCAAAAACTGCCATTGTTTGCACATTTAGCTATGTAATTCAGTATAATTGTAGGTGTGCAAGTATTTATCTAGTGCACTAAGGAACTTGAAACATATAATGCAAAGATCTAAAAAATGCATAAATAAATTGCTTAGAATGCTTAGAAGAATTCTTACTCTGTCTCGTTATTTTCGAATATAAGTTCGCCCTTGGCCGCTTCGTAATCCTTGCCCTCTTTGGCAGTACCTCCTTCCGTCCAGTAAGGAACAATAACTCTCCCCCTAGCGCCAGACTGTCGCACCACTTTTAGCTCGTAAGTACCAACCGATTCCACTAAATCGTGATCTTTTTCTGCGAATGAAAATATTCCGCTATGATCATCGTCGAGAATAACCACAGTGGCAACGCGAGGGGTTGCTAACGTGACCGGCTCTTGTGGATCACTCAATCGTATGTAAAAATGTTCGTCTTGTTCGAAAACATCATCGTCTATGACACGTACCGAAAATGTTTTTTTCATATCTCCTGGTGCAAATTCTAGAACACCCGAAGCTTCGTAATAGTCGCTGCCAGCTTCTGCCGAACCATCTTCAGTACAATAGTTAACGGTAAACTCGATGTCCGGATCTCCCTTCCTTACGACAGTTACTTCAAATTCACCGCAATTTTCCATAACCGTGTAACTTCCGGGATCAAAACAAACGGCACAGGCTTCCAGTTCCGCCTTAACGGTAATGGGGCCCCTTTGTAATTCAGCTCGCACCTCGCTTAAATCGCTCTGCGCTCTTTCGGAAATCTTTTTCATAACGTTTCCACTGCCCATCATCTTTCGTGTTGCCTGGACGCGGTAAAAGGCTCGTGATTTAGATGTTTTATTAAGTATGGCTTCATGGGCCATAACCTCAATTTCGCGCAAATCACATTGGGGGTTCTTTTTGCGTAACTCTCGTAGGGTTTCGATGTATTCTCGTCGAGCTTCTTCGATCTCGTCGACGACATTATCGTAGTATGGCTCTTCCTTGTTAGCTAATTCCAGGTCGGTTCCACTTGCACCTTCGGCTTGAACAATAACACCACGCTTGTTCATGCGATAATCTTTGTTCAAATATTTATAAATCAACAACCTTCGATCAGCTATATAGGCTGTCAAAACGGTTGTCGGGAAAAACATAAATGTCAAAAAACCTTCCCATACTTCTACTACACCCGGAGAAATTACGGCTAGTATTAAATATAACCAAACATATGCAAAAATAGACCACGCCGCGGTCACAAAAAACACTCGCAGATGCTTAATTTTACGTACCTCACCGTTCGGTATCACTAATACACATATAGCTATTATAACGAACAAGTTATAAGCAGCTGATCCGACAATAGTACCAGGTCCCAAATCACCGGCATTGAAATTCTTCGCAATAATTTCTATTATAGACAACAGGATTTCTGGGGCACTAGATCCAAGTGCCATGAGCGTTAAATTCGCAACAGTCTCGTTCCATACTCGTACTACAACTATTTGGGTCTCGCCATTAGGCCTACGAACTTTGACTTCTTTTTCTTGAGATGTTATAACTTCAATAGCGGCCATAAAACGGTCGGATATTATCGATACCCCTATGAAAAGATAAAGTAAGCCAAAAAAATAAACTATACCCCTTGCCAGACGATCCCCGCTCGTCAAATTTTCAATTGGCATCCACACGGGGATCACTAACCCATCCTGGCAATGGATACCAGCGGAACTCCCATTTCTATCGTCGGACGCTTCGGATAAATCCCATTGCGCCACCAAGAGCAGGGTAGTGAACCCGAAAGAAGATAAATAATAGGCCATCACGCTTTTTTGTTCATCTCGCTTTGTTTATACTTATTTGTTATTCTATTTTTATTAAATCGACCTAAAGCAAAACACTCGCACGCACAAGCACAAACCAAAGTAACACAGAACGTACGCGCAGTACGAGGACCCGAACGCAACTGACTGTAGGACGGTGCTAGGCGCAACTTTAGCTATAGTACGAGTACGCATAGTCAAACAAAGGGAAGGGATGCGAATACGAATACGAATGCGATGCTGTTCCCGCTATAACGAACACAAACGTGAGCTATCTACGATACTATACTACACTATACTATACTATACTGTAATGCAAATCATAATACAACTAGTGGTATATGGCTTAAGGAAAATTGCTGGAACTTTTCATACCAATTTTTTTAAAGATTTTTTTTTAATCATTGAGAAAATTTGATTTTTGAGAAATTTTAAATTTTTGAATAAAGAAAAAAAAAATTGGAAAAAAATGTTTTTTTATTTTGAACTTTTTTCCAAAGCAATTGCACTGCTTTAGCTGCATAGAAACGAATTATCGAAGCGCGTAAGCGCCACGTCGCCGTCTAACGAACAAACGATGTTGCAAAACCCCTAGAAATATAAACAAAATTGATACTTAATATTAAAATCTCCATAAAATATCTGATAATTTGATATGCATATGTCTAATGATCATTCTTGACCGACAAATGGTATTCTTTTTAACTTTGTTTACTAGATCTCCGAAACCGCTAGACTTGCCTTCATGAAAATTTGATCAATTCTTCATCTTGTCAATACAAGTAAAATCTTTTTTGAATCATTAAAATCGAACGCTCTGTTCTTTAAAAACTGAGGTACCGTTTTTGAAACTTTTTGCCCAGTATCTTCGGAATCGCTAGACCTGTCTAGCGTGTAATCAGCACGTCTTCTTATCAATACGAATCGAATGTTTTTTAAATTATTCAAATCATTTGATCCGTGCTCCCGAAATCGTCGACGAAAATTTGTATCCGCACACACACACATAAACACATTTTATCTAAGGTATGTCAAAATGTTCAGAAACCTCTTAAACGTAAAGATATATAAAAAAAATCGTTTTCGATTTTTTGCGATTACTATTTACCTACGGGAAGTTAATAACATAATTACTTTTAATAAGCAACAACATTCAAATTTATTAATTCGATTCAAATAAATATTGATTTTTACCAGCAATATACTTATAGAAAAAAATCAACAACAAAACAACCAACTATTTGCTCTCCGGACTGGTGGTGCACGGAATTGAATCTTAAGCAAAATTATATTGAAATTATTGAAATTCAAATTATATTGAAACTTTTTAATTACTTGAACAAAAGAACTATTTTTTTGAATCTACAAAACATTTTTTGTTAATTTTTTAAATATTCAATAAAGTTGAGCCCGGCGCATAATTTAATGTCCTTTTCGTTCAGCCAGTTGTTTGTGAAGAACGGTCGGCAACGTTTATAATGCATCACTTTTTTGTTTATAATGTTTCAATAAATTTCATTAATATTATATTTGAGAGCATTTCATTAAGACTAATTTTATATTTTACTGTCGATCACACAAAATATAAAAAAAATGAAGCTACGGTCCTCATATGGTTAGGAGACCATTGGTCCCTAGAGAACGACGCCGGCCATGGGAAAAGTTGACTGTCCCTAAGGACCGACGCCGAGCTCAATGTGTTAATTTTTCCAAAAATTTTAAACTTTATCACAAATCGTCAAAGTTCTAGTAGTCGCCTATGGATTGATATGAAGAAAAGTTGAATTATTAAGTGATAGTAGATATACTCCCCTCAAATGGGTGCTGATGGAATTATAGTTAGCGAATCAATGAGTATATTGTCACATTTGGCTTTTTTACGTGCTCTAGATCCTGTATGGTATTTCGCGACTGATTTGCTTTTCTTCAATGTCACTGAACCTACGACGGCGCGTTACTTGCAGATGGATCAGTAGTAGTTGAAGAATTGTACCCTAATTAATTAATTTTTTAACTTGAAATTATCTGCTGGGACTTTGACGATTTGTGATAAAATTTTAAATTTTTGGAAAAATTAGCATGTTAAGCTCGGCGTCGGTCCTTAGGACAGGACAGTCAACTTTTCCCATGGCCGGCGTCGTTCTGTGGGGACCGATAGTCTCCTTACATATGACCGGCGTCGACGCCGAGGACCGTCACCAGATTTTTTTTTATATTTTGTAGGATCGACAGTAAAATATAAAATTAGTCTTAATGAAATGCTCTCAAATATAATGTTAATGAAAAATATTGAAACATTTTAAACACAAAACTGATGCCTGATAAACGTTGCCGTCCGGCTGAACGGTAAAGACATCAAATTTGACGGCGGGCTTATAATATAATTTTAAGAGTGAATACCTAATATCAACAGATATTCACAAAAAAGATTGTCTTCAATATAAGACCCTTTTTGACTGTCATCAAGAAGACCAGGAACGAAAAGTGGGGTGAAATCTGTATAGAGAGGAAAAAGGTATCTAAACAAAAACAGCGTTAGCCGCAAGAAATTGCAAAATATAAAAATTTATGTAACTACTTAACAGGTGATGTAAATTTAACCCTTAATTTTAATTCAAAAACAATCCACCACGGTTCTGTATTCTGGCAGAAAACCTACCTGCGGTAATCAATTGATATGTTGTGTATGTTATGCAATTTGTTTGATATGAATTTGTGAACAAATATATAATAGAATTACAATAATATTCAAATTACTCAAAGCGAGCTTAAATAATTTTTTTTTGCAGTATTGGCGTCGTGAAAGATTTTTTGTCATTCTACAAGTGTAATATTACACAATAAATAAATATCATTTTTTGTAGTCGTTTTTGAAAATTCAGGAATGCCTTGGTATAATAATCGCCATACCGTATTTAGAAAAAAATATATGATAAAACTGTAACTTTAAATTTTTTTAATACTTCAATATAAAACATTATATGGTAGCGTGCACTTATGATGAGCCGAGGCGTTTCCTTTCTGATAATTGTATGCAATTTACGGTAAATAAATGATGTAATATTTAAGTCATTATTAATTGTGTGAAGGTTCTATTTTTGTAATTTATAAATTCATAGTATACTTTTAAATATATTTTTTTTTAAATTTTTATAGAAAATTCTTAGTCAAATCTATATTAAATATCCAAAAGTTGTTCCAAAGTAATGTTTGTAGAAAATATAGAATGACTTCTTTGTTGATCATTTTTGAAATTATAAGCAATGTGTATGCATACCCATGGTACTCATTTTCGCTAATGAATTATTCGAATAGTTTTAGAATAAATTATTAATTTCAATAATTAAAAAAAAATTTTTTTGATTAATATTAGTCTTATATGATTATACTAATATTTAGATTACAGATACCAGTAAAAACTACCTTCATTCAAACATATTAGTGATGTTGAAACTTGCCCTTGTTGATAACTATCACCAAGGTTTTTTCTTACATCTTTTCAGAAAATTATTGTATCTATCATCATCAGTATTCCATGCATCATGATATGCTTATATTAGTTTTCGTTATCATTTATGGGGGAGATATAAAATCATTTCAATAAATAAAAAAATGTTTTATATCACGATCGTACGTAATAAGTATGCCAAAAATGATCAAAATCAATTTTTAATCTTATCTTTTTTTAATTACTTCAGATTTACGTCATATAAAGCGTCTCTTCTACCTATGGCCATTCAACCACAAACCATTCATGATGCATCAATAAAGATAACGTTCATCCACACCCAATATCTGGAACTCCTATCATAGAAATAATAATATAATTCTTATCGATTTTTACGGCCGTGACACGAAATTTTCTGACAAAACTAAGTATCGTTTAATTGGAAAATTCATTTTAAATTCATTATTCTTATTTTTTTTTATATAATTTTTGTGTTTTGTAATAATTTGTATATTTTGACCACTGAAGAACGAAATTGCGATTTGAAACGTATGGTGATCATTTAAATTTATTTTTATGAGGCCAAATTCATCATTCTTTTTATTTTTATTATCTGATGGATGAATATCTATTTAAAAAATATATATGTAATTTTATTTAAGCTCGATTATTATCCATGAGCAGTATTTCATTCTAAGCAGTATTTTACTGCAAGTTATAAATTATATAAACACAGGCCTACAATTTTTTTTTTATTTGGTGCATCAAATGTTAGAGCTGATTCTTATAGTATTATAACCATTTTTTGTATCAGCTCTAGTTTTTGAGATACATTTTTGAGAAAGAAGTTGCCGAAACCGGGTCCATTGTAGGTCGTGACGGAAAAGAACTTTTCACAGTGTCAACTAATGTCCCAACTAAGGCCGAATGGGTCTTGTAAGTTTGTATGTACGAGTAGGCATATCTCATTAAAATAATATTCTGAATAGTATTACTATTTTGTACTTTCATTCCTTATATATCATATATATCATCATATCTTGAAAACTAAAGCTCATAGAAAAAACCAACGTATTTTTGAAATTAGCGCCCCAAATATACTAAAAACAGCATTAAAATCGTTTGCACCATTTTCTTTGTTGGCCTGTGTTATTGATCATTTTATGATCTAAGTCAAAATTTGAAGTTCACCTTTGTATAATTTATATCAGTTTCTTGCAATATTAGCCTAAAATTAGTATTTTTCATAAACCCAATATTTAGTAAAATTATTTTAAAAAAACTATAATAGAGATGGATAGATCAGTTAAATAATAAAATTATTTATACAGAAAAATATCATTTGAGAAACAAACAAAAATTTTTAATTCACATATAAATCATTTTATGTAAGAGTGTTTAACTTAAAATCTTGTGTTATGATATAATAATACATAAACTGGTTTTACCTAATAAATTACCTATCGCTTTTGCATATCCATATAAAAGGAATCCAGTTACAATATTGATTGATTATCAATAATTAAATAGATATGTGCAATACACATTATTTGTTTAATTTTGATTTGTTCAAATGTTCAAATGGTAATCGTTAATGTTATCAAAAAAATGTATTAGTAACTTTTTAACTACTTCTCATCATAAAAGTTTAAATATTTTCTAACTACGAATAACAATAACAAAATTATTTCACATATTTTATTACTACTAAATCACTTATCATATTATATAAACTTTTATCAATTATTTAACATTCTCGTTTTTCCTCTCATATGTAAAGGAAGTGGTACTATACCAGGACAAGACAATTGCCCAGGAATTTCACAAATACAATGTCGATCACAACCAAAACCAAAGTTAGCGACATTATCAATTTTTTCCTTTAATTTTTTTTCTACCAGTTGTAGTGCTTCCGACTTTCCTACTACTTTTAAGAGATGATCATGAACTTCTTCTTTTGTTTTGCTGTCAATATCAATTAACAATTGATTTCCTTCCTCGAAATAACATTTTACAAACGGTGTGGGTGTAAGATTTTTAAAGGTTATGACTTGTACTTCAGGATTTTTGTACTGAATTTGAGGCAGATACCAGTAAACAAAGTCTCTTGCTCCTTGGTGATGTTCGCCAAATGTATTATAATTGATAGAGAAGATTTTAATGCGATCTTTAAGTAGCAATTTACCAGATTCCAAATATTTAAGGGTTCTGCGAACCGCAAATTTTCCTTTCATGAAAGGCATTGCGATGCCGTAATATAAAAACTTTTTTACGTTCTACTTAGTTTTTTTTATCACATTGAAATAGTTATAACTGAGAATTAGTTTAAAAATGTTGAAACAATTGGTTATATATGTATGTCCAAATTACTAATGACATACAACCATAGAGTACAGATTTGGATGGGATATAGATATTTCTTGGTTTTGAACCTCGATAAAAAAAACAGCGATTCATTTAACGGTTAACATTTTGCCGTTAAATCAATAAATTCACATCTAGTCAATATAATATTTTCATTATCATGATTATAATTATTAATTATATGATATATTATATAATACATATCTTATCTATGACATAATAATTATATAATATATTAAAATGAAAATCGTCCGTACCCAAACTGCAGAAACTTAACACGCGCGGCGCTCGTGTGCCGATGTCCATTAGTAATACTTGGCACTCTATAATACAGATTGTTTCTCTGCCTTTGCGATTTATCATCAATTATCAATCTCATTTTTCATAATTCCTTTCATTGTAGAAATTATAAATAAAAATGGCAAAAACTATTGATTTGGAACTAAAAAAGGTACATGTGAATGTTCATACTTTTCTACAGGTTTTTTTTGTATTATATTACAACAAATGTTTAACATAACCTTTAAATAATATTTTAAGGCTTTTACTGAACTTCAAGAAAAAATGATTGAAACTTCACAAAAGTTAAGAATTGCTGATATACAAATAGAGAATTTGAAAAAGAGTAAACAACATTCAGAAATCACTGAACGAGAAATATCTTCGTTAGCTCCTGGAACGAAGTATGTATATAAATACTTATAAAATTTATATAATCATTTATACAACTGAATAACAAATTATACTAAATCTTGATTACAGAACATATGAATCTATTGGTCGAATGTTCTTATTAAATGATATTGATAATGTGAAGAAGAATCTACAAATGAAGCAGAAAAGTGCAGCGGATAAAATTGAAACCTTAGTGGTATGTAAATAGGCTGTTAATATTACATTTAAAATAGCATTTAATGTTCACTTTCAATGCATTTTTACAGAACACCAAAATATACTTGGAGAAAAATTTGAAAGATAGTGAAAATAATTTACGAGAAATGGTTCAAAATAGAAAAGAACAAGACAAGTCATAAAACATAGCAAATTCTGTATTTCTCTGTTGAATTTTTTGTTTTAGTAAATTGATAATGGATTATAAATATGATTGCTTGTTTTTAAAAAAAATTTTGGTGATATGTATAAGAATATTTTTCTGGAAATGGTTATGTTCTCAAAACATCGTTAACCAGTTAACTGTGGCACAGTTTTGTGTCTTAAGAATTTAGCTATGACCTCATAGCTTTAGTTCAATTTGTCACAGAACAAGTTGCGCTGGTAAGATATGGTATGAGAAACATGTGTTCATTTTACAAAATTGGAAATTTTATTACCAAATTTTAAGTTTTCGACTAACATAAGCACACATTGCATGCATATTAAATTTATGATGGAATAATTTTAGTTAAATATTATACCTGTATGTAAAACTACATGTTATAATATTTTCCAGGCACCATAAAAATAGTTAAGAATGAGAAGCAGTATTTATTGAAAAATACTTTTATTAATCTATTTTACAGATTTTAAAAATATGCTATATTGATTGATAATAAGTACAATTAATTAACAAATAACAGCGATAAATTTAAATTTGTTAAAATTTTCTGTAATAATATAACATATTTTTAATAATCATATAATTGATCATATAGAAGAAACTAAATAATGCTACACTTTTTAATATAATATTGTTTGTACCTTTAAATATAATAAATAGTTCAAGCACTTTTTATAGTTTGTTTTGATTCTTTCACAATTTCTTAGAACTATAAATAAGATATAAAATAATATCAAATGTTTTTTTTATTATAAAATAGGACATGAGCTTAGATTCGTTATAGTAATCTCAAACAAGGCAACTGAATTTAATAGTTACCTCAACAACCAACAAGCGATTATGAAAAATCTGATAAAAAGCTCTGTACTAGTCAGTGCAAAGTGTATGAAAATAATTTAAATAGACTTATAATATGTTGAAGTACTCATTTCATTTGCACACACATTTATAATTTACAAATACTTCTTAATTTGAATGAAAAATATTTCTGTTTAAGTATATTTCATACAAGAATGACTAAAAGATAAGTAAAAATTCTTTGAACATATTGATTGTAATTATTTTTATTTTGTTGCTGAATTAATTGAGACACTGGGACGCTAATTGACCTTTTCTAACTTTTTTCATTTTTATGATTCATGGTTGTCCTATGATACACAAGTAAATCAATGAGTTTGTCTTTCACTATTACTAAATATTTAATGAATTGTATTTATTGAAATTATTGCACATAATGATTGATGAATATGACGTCTTTACCTGAAAAACTTTTTCTGAAGAATTTGGATACTGATTTGATATTGTAATATCTAATCCTTTTCTGATTCTTAAAAGTTTCGAGAACATTTTAAGTGTTTAATAAATAATTGCTATAACTTACAATTAGAGAAGGATAAATATTTGAAATGATTAAAATGTTATATATGGTCCTTTTATAAAATTAAAGATAAATAACAATAGAAATATTTATTCTACAATTTTTATTTAATATTTATTTTAGAATTTTAAATTTTTTGGTATCACACTCCGAATAATTAGATATAAAATTTATGAACGGAAAAACAGAGCACTTGACTTAAATTTCAAATTTTCAATATTTTTCAACTATAAATTCATGGTCAAAATTACTGGCGCGCCAACATTCTCTCTTGGCTTTCTTTCCATACTAATACGATAAACGTGTGCGTATTTTAATTAAATGCATATTTTTCATCAAATAACCAATTACATTATTTTAATTAGACACGTGATTCATATGAATCTGATAATTTTCAAATCAGTTTTCGAACAACTCGTATAATTTTGAGCAGAGACCGAATTACAGAATATTTATTGATCTGAATCAAGCGGAATCAATTTCGAAATAAATAGTTAAGAATTAGATTCTCAAAATATGCTTCTCGAAATACGCAGAATACGATTGTAGTCACGATATGTGTACTTAAAAAGCCTAACCAGATTAACTGTATATAAATACATACTGCTAAAAAACTCTTATTTCTTATGATTGAGATAATTCATGAATGACAAATATAATAATTTAATTAAAAATTAAAATCTAAAAGAGAAAATGCTTAATTATTTAGACAGCAAATTCTCCAAATTTGATAACATTAACGACATCTCATAACAGCTATGAAAAAGTTTTTTGATTTAACTAAAAACGAATTGGAAGCTTAAGAAGAAAGTAGGAAATGCTTATATCTTATCACTTTCGAACAATAATGCTAAAGTAACTAAAATTAATACATGGCACTGAAATGTCTGAATGATGTGATATTCCGGTGAATAAGTACTGCATTTATTACATTAAAATGCTGCCTCCTAATCTCAAACTTATGTTCAAATATCGAAGCTCAAGCTTCTAAAAGATACTAAAGTACCATCATTATGAACAATTTTAAATTCTACTAGAATTTTCAACCGTGTTCTTGCTAGGCGTTATATTAATATAAGTAGAAGTTGGCGCAAAACTATTTGCTGCCCATGCCTTATCAAAAAAATTATGGTAAGTAGGATTTTCGACGGAATTGGAAATATCATTTTTTACCCTGCTCAATGCCGGACTACTGGGTTCCACATCAGAACTTGAAGTGTTAAGTAACATTGGTGTCATTTCTCCTCGAAGCTGATTAGAATTTTCAATGCTACTTGCTAATGGAAACTGAAAATTAGTACCATCATTTCGTCCTTCCTTCGTTTGTGTTGGGCTCATACATAAATAATTATTGCCGCCATCCACGCCTGCAATGAAGTAAAGTATTGTATAAGGTTGTTCGGAAAGTTCTTCGTTTTTTTGCCATCAGAATTTAACAATATTTTTTTGAACCTAACATCACATATAAGCCCTATAATTAATATATGATATGAAAACTTATACTTTAAAGCTCGTGTGTAAAAAATTCTAATCAATGCGGAAAGAATTAAGCAGCATTTTCGACATATTTTACTCTTTTGCTATAGAAAAGTTATGAAAACTGTTTAGGTCAAAATGAAATTGATCGATGTGTACTGAAATGACGTGTTGATAGTACGACAGTGCCAAAACTGGTTTGCTAAATTTCATTCTTGGTATTTTGATGTCCAAGATGCACCAAGTCCGAGAAGAACGGTTGAAGATGATAAAGGCGCAAGAAAGGCATTATTTGATGCAAACCGACGAATAACAATACATGAGATTCCATTGAGTTAAAATTTATCAAATTTAATAGTTCATTTTCCTCGAAACTCAATGTATGGTTCTCATAGAAAGAAACCTGTGTCGTCGCAATGTCCGTCCGCGATTCTCCTCTGAAAATTACCAGGTTTTGACGCGAATTGTCACTAGGAATTTCAAATGGGATATAAAGAATACAATACACGCAATTGCCCATGCAATAAAAAAGAAGAACCTGCTAAAAACCGGTGCGAAGCTGAAATTTACCAGAAAAACGTGATGCAGTATGTTTGGTAAGATTTTAAAGAAGCTTCTCCAAGATAACATAACAGTTAATTCGGATGCCTTATGTTATCAGGTGGATGAACTAAATGATATACTTCAATAGAAAAGGTCAGAATTAGCCCACAAGCAAGGTATAGTCTTACATCAAGACGACGCAAGACCTCACATAAGTTTGGTCAATCGCCAAAAGGTTTTGTAGCTTGAATAGGACCCAATGACATATTCATCATATTCTCCAGACCTGCCATCATCAGACTAGTATTGTTTCCGGCCACTAAACAAATTTTTAGGCAGTAAAACTTTTACCTCAAATCAGCCTGTCAAAAAGCCCTTTGATCAGTTTTTTGCCAATAACGACCAACAAATTTATGATTTCGGAATTATGGTAATACCAGAAATATGACAAAACATGTTCGATCAAAAGTGCCAATACATAATTTATTAAAGTAATTGTTTATTGTACGAAAATTACGTGCCGAAATTATTAAAAACGAAGTTACTTTCCGAACAACCCAATATATATAAAAAATATATGTATACAATGTCGCGAAGCATAAAAAATAACACCTTGAAAGTAAAAGAAAGCGACATTGAAATTGATACAATAGATTTAATAAAAAAAATTAATGCAAAACAAAATAAAGTAAAAATCGTGATTGCACGCCATGTGGGCACAATTCAAGACATTTAATTCCCGGGTACGTATCATATGAAAAATATTAAGTTAAATATTCGTACATATAAATACGAATATTTACCTACACCTACAACTATACACACACACACATATATATATATATATATATATATATATATATATATATATATATATATATTATTTATATATAAACACTTCGATGCGGATCGATGAAGCTAATTGATACTATCTACAATTTTTGTGAAAAGTAAGTAATTATGATAATTATGATATATAAATTCTAAATCTATATAACAATAAATTGTTTGTATATTCGGATATACATCAATAACCACTGATATAACTTTCAAGCAGAGTGAAATTATTTTTACTTTTATTTTTATATGTTGATTATTACTCATTAACATTTATAGAAAATAAAATGAAAAGTGAATTCATATATAAATAAACTTTACTAAATGATTTCAACTTTAGTAAAATTGATGTAGTTGGATACTGACGTGTTAAAATCACGTGCTATTATAGACAAAATATTGTTGTTAAAAGTGAATATATAATGATATAGACCTTAATATTTGTTGTGCATATTCTTAGATAGCTTAATTAATTATAAAGTGGAAAATATTTATTAATGTTAGAAATTTTGTATTGAGAAGTGATTGCTTTGAACCTTAATTGCAACAATGGCAAAATACCTGTTAATTTTATTATTTGTGACCGTACTTATAGTTGAAACTTTATCTTTCGGATTACTAGGATACTCGGACGACACAGAAGATGATGATTATAGACATCAAAAGAAAAAGAAACAAGACATAGGTGAGATATTAATTTTTGTCAGATTACAAATCATGCAAATAATATTATAATATAATAATAAATGATACTATCAAATGAGTTAGAATAAATACAAATAAAAATCCTTCACGAAATATGATGAAAGTCGAAAATAGCTAGTTTTCATCTTAATATTTCTTTGTATAATTTATTCATTTATAATTTTCATATTTCTAGTATAATGCATTGATTTACATTTTTTACTATATTCATTTTGTTTAAAACAAGATCATGTTCTTGACAGATGTCCTAATAATGAGACATACATAAATTAACATCCAAAACCTTGACAATAAATAACTTTCTGGTTTTTTATTACTATATTATTATATATAAATATCAGGGTATCCTAGAACTTAACGTCAAGCCGAAACGGGGAGAGAGTATAAACCTAACTATTCTAAAAAAAATCAGAAAAAAAATCTCACGTTGTTTGGAAATTGTGAGCTTTTAAGTGCAATCTAGAGAACCTGAAATTATTATCTTTTCTCGGATATTGTGCTTAATTTTATTCATTTAAACTTTGAAACCGCAACCATGAATAGCATTTCTAGGACCACAGTAAAAAATAATTAACACAATTACCCCAATTTTCCAAAAACTAAACTTTTTTGCTGAACTATGAATTTAAAATTTTTACGATTAATCAACTTTTGGAACCCCTCTTTTAAAAACAAATCCCTCTCAAAGTAATCAATTTAATATATTTCAGATTATAAAAAGAACTAATTTTAATCACTTATTTCAATAATAATAAGAATTGATAGTACTGCCCTAAGGCAGGCCCGTGAGCTGAGTTAAACTCAAACTCGATTCAGGGAAGAAGTAGTGTGAAAATTTTTCCCACTTCTTTTTCACGCCGCGGTGCCCGTAATAGGCTAATTTTCAATTAGGAACATATTTTGATCTATATTTTCAAGTAAAAATGGACATCGCGCTACCGATGTCAGATTGCCAGAGCAGGGGGTCGTCGAACGCACGACCCCATCCGTATTGGTCCGCGCGTTAGCCAACTTGGATTATTTATTTATTATTACTTATTTACTTATTGTAATATATAATACTAATTGTTGTTTTCGTTGCAGTGTTTACAAGTTTGCAAAAGCTAAATACATTTTTGACGATTAAACTGCATGTGGTACTTGCCGTAGGGACAATCGCAGCCATCGTCATATTAATTGTAAAAGCACTGGGTGCTTTTAAACTGGTGGGATTATTTCACAGCAACCCGACGCCGCATGATCACACTCCTTATTATAAGTAAGTCATTTCAAATAATTTCAAACTTTTTAAAAATAAAAAAAAATACTTAAGTATCGTTTCGATTGTGCTAATCGTTTTAATTAGGAGACCCACTAATAAATAATAAAATCATTAGATAAAAAGTCGCAATTTATAATTAAGTATCACCTAGTTTTTTCACTTTTATAATAGAAATATATAAATTGCACATTCTGCATTATTTTGGCGTGTGTAATACATTAACAGTTTTAATTAGATATAATAATATCATTGCTTTCTGAATATAGCCATGGACCACATCTGCATGCATTCCAAGACGACCCGCACGATACTCACTTTGCGACCAATTTTCTCCAAGATCAATTTGCATTGCAGCATGATCACAATAATTTGGTTCATGATGAACATAAACTTCAACTTGAAGATCATACAATACATGATCATGCATTAAACAATCATGCATTACATGACCATACATTACATGATCATGCATTAAGCGATCATGCATTACATGACCATACATTGCACGATCATACATTACATGATCATACACCATGTGATCATGCATTACATGATCATGCATTAGAAGAAAATGAAATTGAACTTAATCAAAATGAATTATACAGTTTTGATCATGAACACGTTTTCAATCATGCTCCAGAATTTTTCAGTGAAGAAGATGCTCATTTTCCAGAAAGTTTTGCTGAAACCGATTTTATTGGTATAACCCCAACAATTCATCCGGCGTTAGATAGATCAGGTGGATGGTACAAATACCACACAGCAATGAAGCAGAAACAAGATGCCAAAAACAGACAAAATGCACAAAAAAGCAAAGATATAAAGAAGAAACAAGAACCAAGAAATAAACCAGCAGCAAAGAAAAGCGTATGATGATACGAAGCATATTTATGAAAAGTAAGTAAAGTAAAAAATAATTGAAAGTTATTGAAATGTCTACTATTTTTCATTTTACAAACTTTTTAATACAGTGAAATAATGTTCTGAGATTGCCAATGGCAATTGATTTCATATTGCTTTTTTGGAGAAACAATAGTTCAATTAGCAAATAACAAACTTTAGTAATAACTGCAGCAGAAACAAACTAATAATCACAAACACGTGTTTCAAAAACCGGAAGACAAAACTAATAATGTAAATCATTCACGACGTATAATACTCGCAAAACCGTTTATATTATTACTAAAAGTTATCAAAGACATTGCTATATTTCTCGAGTTTAGAGCACTTACCGCCAATTTGTGGGTCATTGATGTAATTCAGGCTGGTAGCTGCTGGAGATTGTAATTGCGTGATATCAGGAGAGGACATCATGGCCAAGTAGTCCCCTCCTGTCTCAAGTTCAGCGTTATTCATAGTCAAAAACGGCTCGTTCAGGTCCACGTAATGCTGAAAAATATAATAATGGTCAACGGCATTAGAATTGTCAGAAAACTGTAATCCTGCAAATTTTGAATATTCACAAACTGCGCGAAAGAAATCAGTAAAAAATACCACATATTTTCTTGCTTATTTTTGAAACTTTAATATTAATTAATTGTTATATTTAGCCAAATTATTATTATTTATCTTTTACTAGAACTTTATAAATCAAAGAAACTTTTAAGGGGAACAAATAGTGTAACCGCCTAAAAAAAGGTGATTTTTGGGAATTTATATTAAAAAAACTACTCTATCAATGATTTCAAAATTTTAGGAATATATTTATACATGTTTTAAGAATACATAGTGAAATTTTTGAAGAAAAAAATTGAATATTTTTTAAGTTATCGTCGATCTCCAACGGCGCGACGAAAAAGGCCCATCACTGCTGCAGTGATTCCGGCCTCCTACGTGGATGAAATTTAAAAAAAAAAATCTCGTTAAACTAGATAATACTGTCTGTAAAATAAACTACGATAAACAAAAAAATCAAAAATTGACAAAATGACGGCGTTTTTTTAAAAAAAGTTGAATTTTACCCAAAATTTTGGTCGTTTTTAGACTGCCAAAATTCGATTTTTGATCCGATCAAAAAATCAATAGTTCATTTTACGGAGAACTATATATAGAACATGTAAAAGAATTTGATAGTGATCGGATCATTTGTTTTTAAGTAATCGCTGCAGCAAATTCGGAAAATGATGTTCGGAAATGCCGAGAAAAACGCGTTTAAAGATTAAATGATCGTTATACTATATACTATATATACTCTTTAAATGGCTGTGACTCAAAAATTATTTAAGATAGCGATATACAATTTTGGTATGTTATTTTTAAAGGTATAACCTATCGAAATATGGAAAAATTGAAAATTCGGTTTTTTGAAAATTTCACACTAGTTAAATGACTAAAATATTTGATAAATTAAATATGATTAATGCTGTTCTTATTATTAAATTACTTACAATTCTGACGGTATCTTCAAGCATAGTTCCAAGCCTTGCTGTTAAATCCGTAAAACTAGGTCTACTTGTTGGTGTTGCATTCCAACAATCCAGCATTGTTTGGTAACTGTAGCAAAGACAAGCATTATTCGATTTAGATTTCTCATATACGTGTAAATATATACTATAAAAGTACTTACATTTCTTCATTTGCAAATTGTGGCCGCTCCATACGATATCCTTCAATAAGCCGCAAGTATAATTTTTCATTGGCTTCCATTCCAGGATACGGTGTAAGAGCTAAAGAGAACAATTCCCACATAGTAACTCCAAACGACCAAATATCAGACTGTGTGCTAAAGACCCGATCCCTTATTGATTCTATTGCCATCCATTTTACCGGCAATGGACCCTACAATTAATAAAAAATATTTTTACCATACAGGAACAAACACAAAAATAGCACTAGAAGACGATGATCAATATGTCAAAATATGCCTAAAAAATTATTACATACTTCTCCTTTCTTTTGATAATTATCATCTTTATACATGCTTCGCGCGAGGCCAAAGTCACAGATTTTGACTATATTATCTTCGGATAACAAAATATTACGAGCCGCTAAATCTCCATGCAAAACCTAAAAATAATACATCAAATGTCAAATTAGAGTATTGATTTATCGATAATGCATAATAAAAAATCATAGTTAATACCTTTCTGGATGCGAGATATTCCATGCCCCTGGCTACTTGGAAACTCCAACATAACAGATCTTGTGTACATACTGGTTTCACACACTGTTCACGATAATCCCCTCGATAGTTCGATCTCCAGTCTGGCTGGACACTACCATTACTCATCAAAGGTTCTTCTCCTGCAAGATATATATTTGTGTATATGTTTTTAAATTTTGAAAATTGATTGAAAATTTATTGCAAAAACGTTCACGCAAAACTTTGCACTTTGCAAAACTAATCAACAATATTACTGATTTATCAGTTTTATTAGATGCTTTTTAAATCCTAAAATCAGTGCAGCCGTTTTTGAGTAAACGCTAAAAATAGGTTACAATTTGGCTTACATACTCATACACGCATACTCTTTTCAAATTTGGGGTCAAACGATTGAGAATAACTTAAACGCCGAGAAAACAATTAGAAAATCGGATTTTCTGGCGAAAACAAAATTGTCCGTCGGGAAGTTAATAATAATAATAACTAGTGGTGCATGACATCGTGCCTTAAGGCTGGAACTTCCTGTACCAAAAATTATTTTTTAAAAAAAAAGATTCATTTTTATTTTAGAACTCTGAAAAAAAAATCGTTTTTTGAAATTTTTCAAAATTTGATTTAATATTTTGGAAATTTTGAACTTTTTTAATAGCAATCGCGATACGTTAGCTGCGTAGAAACGAAATACCGATGCGCGTGGGCGCCTTTTTCGATTTTTTTGCAAATACTATATCTTACCATAGGGGAAGTTAATAATAATAATGATGATGATAATAACAATAAACTAGTGGGGTGCATGACATCGCCTTAAAGCAAATTGCTGAACCCAAAAAAAATTTGTACAAAATGTTGTACATTATGAAAATCTCTATAAAATATCTGATAATTCGATGTGCATAAGTTCAATAAACATTTTTGACCGTCAAATGGCATAGTTTTAACTTATTTTTATTGAGAGTCTAACACCCCTGGATCTGCCTTCCCAAAAATTTAATCAGTCTTTTATCTTGTCAATACAAGTAAAATATTTTCTAAATTATTAAATTTGGACGTTCCGTTCTCTTAAAAACTGAGTTACCATTTTTGGCACTTTTTGCGCCGTATCTTCGGAACGGCTAGACCTATCTTCGCCAAAAACTAATCAGCACGTCTCCTTGTCAATACAAATCGAATGTTTTTTGAATTATTCAAACCGGTTGATCGGTGTTCCCAAAATCGTCGACGAAAATTTGTATCCGCACACACACACACGCATACACATATACATCCATTTTTTCTAAAGTATGCCAAAATGTTCAGAAACCTTTCAAACGTAAAGATATATAAAAATTTTCATTTCCGATTTTTTTTGCGATTACTATAACTTGCCCTACGGAAAGTTAAAATAGCATAAGTAATATGAAAAGGACAAATAATAATTCAATAAAATGCAATAAAAAAATAATAGCAATAATAATGAATACATAAAGCATCACTGCTCATTCTTATTATCCTTCGTTAATAATCAATTCAAATAAAATAAAATCAAAAACTTATCATTTAATATTTAATAATATTTTAATATGGATATCGTATTTTTAAGTTACCTGTTTGCGTGACGGATAATAAAGTGACGGCAGTGGTAGCGGTATTTGGTCCCCCACTGATGGGGGGCAAATAGCCACTATTGTCCGAATCACCCGTTGCTGTTCCGCCGGCACTGCCGTACATTGTGAAGTCGCAGCTGGGATGACGAAAAACATAGGTTGGCTTCATTCTTTGCGGTAACACCCGACCGATCATCATGCAGTGTAATATTAGTCACAGAAATATGTTAGTAAATGTTAATTAATTAAAAAACACACATATTATTATGCACTATTTATACAACACTTTGCTTAGAATATCCTTAAACCCAATGTTTGCTACATATAGAACGTAATGTTATATTTTGTTGTTGTTTAACCCTCCGTCGGTCGGCGTGGTCTGGCCAGACTTTTTTCGACTTCAATTAAAAAAAAAATACTTCTAGTAATCCTATCGACTTGAAATTTCTTGACTTTTCCTAAAATTTCATTAGCTGTCGATCAATGAGAAAATCAGGACGAAAAAATGTACAGAAGGATAATTATAAGGATATTAACTTTTTTATACTTCGAACGGTCGGAAAGGTCTGTCTAGACCACCCATACATTTTGTATGAAATATACGCTTTTTGATATATGTAAACCAGTATTTTGTCTTTTTTCATGGTATATTCTATTCAAACTGCGTTGTTTATATTCTTTGCTATGTGTTCTAACATGAATGTTAGTATTTTCATGACGAGAGTTCCTTGAAAACCTACCAAACTTATTGGTAATCACAAACACTGAAAATCGGATGAGTAATACACGCATTCATTTCAAAGGCGCCGAAAAAGAATAAATATTGTTTTTCATTGATTTAAAACAGAAAAATTAACAAAAAGCAACGATTTTTTTATATTTCTTGATTATTAACTTCCCGTAGGGTAAGTTATTGTAATGGGCCGAAAATCGGAATTGAAAATTTTTACATTTCTCGACGTTTTGAAGGTTTCTGAACGTTTTGGCATACCTCAGAAAAAATGGATGTGTGTGTGTGTGTGTGTGTGTGTGTGTGTGTGTGTATGTATGTGTGGATACAAATTTCCAGTCACGTTTTAGGGCGCACGGATCAACCGATTTGAATGGTTCAAAAAACATTCGATTCCTATTGATAAGGAAAAGAGCTGATTAGTTTTTGGCAAAGGCAGGTCCAGCCGTTTCGGAGATACGGAGCAAAGAGTGCAGAAAATAGAAATCGAATTTTTGAGAGAACGGAGTATCCGATTTGAATGATCTAAAAAACAATCAATTAGTAATGATTGGGAGAAGTGTTTATTAGTTTTTGGCAAAGGCAGGCCCAGCCATTTCGAAGATACGGAGCTAAATATGTAAAAAATGGCAGTTTTTGAGAGAACTAAGCGTCCGATTTAAATGATTCAAAGAACTTTCTGCTTGTCTTAACAAAATAATTTATTCTGGAAAAAAAAAATTTGTTCCATTTTTTTTTTTTTTTTTTTTTTTTTTTTTTTTTTTTTTTTTAGTTTTTTGTATATCGAAAATATTTCAGATTTTATTTTATTATTTTATATTAGACAATGATACAATATTTATAATAATCTATTTGAAAACATTCACTATTCAACGGGAAGTTCCAGCAATTTGCCTTAAGGCACGATGCCATAATTGCCTCAAGACAGAATTCCACTTACAGCTAGTTTTATATAATCGTTAATACATAAGACACCAAAAACTCATTTATCCCATATAAATGCATGTAAAATGAATGGTGGTCCAGCCAGACCTTTCCGACCGTTCGAAGGTGAAAAAATATCCGACCGACGGAGGGTTAACCACACCAAATTAGGCAGTTAGGCAGCATACAAAAGGATTATATATATTACTATAATTTTGTTTTGTTGTTTAACCACACCAAGTTAGATATTATAGATACAAGATTATTTATGTAAATATACATGTTATTTATTTTACTTTACATATATCAATCATAATAATTAAAATGTGCCTAATATTAATAAAAATGTACATTAAAACGAGCTCATAATAATATTAGTCGAAAGCCAAAAGTATAAACGACTAAAACCAAAAAGTAAGGTACTGTAATTATTTATAATAATATTGCTATTTGTATATAGAATATTCGCTAATACTTTTCAATAGATTTTTGTAACTACTTAATCGATATTAGATTTTAAAAGCGATTTTAATTCAAAATATATAACTTATAACTGCTTAACCGATTATCTAGTTACACAAAATCAATGAAGTAGTAGTTTATTTATTCTAGTTATGTTTATGTTCGTGATTAAGTAGTATATGCATATATGTCCAATTGTGTAGTATTTATACATATAATTAAAAAATATTTATTTATGCAATAAATTATTTTAGTAAAAACAGCATTTTTATCAGAAACTTAAGACAAACTGTTAAATAAATCGTAATACAAAAACATTATAATAGTTGTGCATAACACAAGAAATTACATTTAACATATAATAAACTAACCTGCTGCTCATACTGCCAGCACGTTGAAGTAAATCTTGACCTATCGTAGGATCCAGGCGGTTTGTTTTCCGGTCAATCTGATCTATAAAAGAACTCCTATGTCGCAGCAGATAATTATGGACATTACCGAACCTGCAGAATTCAACAATCACCAGCAATTCACCTGCATGATAATATCAGATTGACTGGTTTTAACAAGATCATGATGGCAAGTCAATTCATAAACTATTTCACAAAAATTATTGACGTGAAATGATTGTATAAAATATTTACGTTTGGCGACGTTTTTCGTGCAGGCCCCAAGCAAATTAACGACATTGAGATGTTTTCCAAGATGTACCATAACTTTAAGTTCAGAAGCAAGAGCTCTGATAAATGCTGGATCTGCTGTTCTTTTAACCATCTTAACTGCAACTGTTGTTTTATCTTCGCCTTCGCATATTCCTTGGGCTTCAGCTTTCACAACCACGCCGAAAGCACCTGAACCTAATTGTTTTCCTGAAATAATGAACGTAATTTGTAAAATCCAATTCTAATGACAAAACATGCTTACTAAACAAATGAGAAAACTAACAAGTTAATTTCAAATAAATAGATAAATACATACCTAATTTGAGCTTTTCACGTGGAAACTCCCACTTTCTGTCGTATGGAAGAAGATCCGCTTGTTCATCGACGGTCAAATCAGGATTGACAGACTCCATATTTCCATCTTCGAAATGTGATAAACCAATCTGCGCTAATTCTTTACGCAAATTCTGAAATTGAAAAGAAAAATTAAAGCGTGTAAGGCCTTGTTGGATGTAGCTAAATAAGTTTTACAAGATTATTAATAGAAACACAAAATAAAATATTATGAAATCAATAGCATCGTATAATATTTTACTAAGGCGAGTAGATGCCTTCAATTATAATTAAACCACCTCTCATAGAAAACTAATGTTTTAAAGTCCCAAGTTACATAAAATGTGTCACAGAACGCGTAAAACACTTACCCTTTCTTGCTTTACTTTCAAAGATAAATATACAATGCAGACTATAAATATGATTGCAACAATAATTAACGAAGTTATAATCGCATAATGCAAACCAGGTTTATCTGAAATATTAAGAGAACTAATTTAGTGAATAACATATTGTAGAAAAAAACAACATATTATTGTAGTACGCACTTGCTAATATAACGCGTGTAGTTCTCCGATCAACTTGAATTTTATTTTCGGCCACACAAGAATATAATCCTTCATCTTGCAACTCAATGTAACGCAATCGCAACAGCGATCCTTCTTGTTCAATGGTGATCTTGGAATCATTGAAAAGAGGTTCAATTTTGACATCATTCTGGAAACAAATAAACCATTTGATTGCGTTATTTAATTATATCAAATGAAAATTTAGCCAAAATCTACAACCGCCAAAAATCTGTACATACAGAGATATTAATACAAAAACCTAACTTACCTTATACCATTTTATGACTGGAGTCGGAACACCGCTGGCTTCGCAATATAAAGTCAAAGGAACACCAAGGTTGGTATTAATGTCACTATTGTTCATATTCGTCGTATGAATTGAAGGAGCTTCCAGGTCTGACAAAAATCATTTAATTAGTATCTCATTATTTGTATTATTTAATTTATTCATATTGAATTTTTGTTAAGCAATAGTTTGTACATAATATATAGTATTACCATTCACTCTAACTGATATGTAAGCGTCATCGAAAAGATCGGAATTGACTTTGTTTGCACGGCAACCATATTCTCCTGAATGCTCCTTTTTAATTGAATGAAAATTAAAATAGGTTCGGTATGAATATTTTGTGTAGTTTCTGCTTGTAAACATTTCTGGAATTAAAAGAACACAAATTAAAATAATAATATTACAATAATGTTTAAAATAATGAGAGCTCGCGCTGATTAGTTTTGCCCGACGATCGACGACGTGCAAAATTTTTCTTCCACGTTTTCGCCAAAAAATCTGTTCGATACTGATTAGATTTTGGTAAAGATCAGACCGGTCGTTTCTTCATAATTAATTGATAAATATCTTTTATTGACGATTTTAATAAAACTTTGCATAGTTAAGTTAATAAGTTTATAGTCACCTCAAATCGTAAAAAAAATATTAGCAAGCAAGCTTTTTCGGCGCAAGCATTTTTTTTTAATTTTTAAGTCATTATTAAGATTTGAAATATATGTAAATATTCATTTATTATTGACTGATATCATAGATAATTTTTCTTATTGCCATTTGATATAGATTTAAGTTCTTATCTAAGTTATTTATAGTACACGATTCCTCTCACACATTACACAATCAAGATAGAAATAAAATATATAAAATTTATGAATATCGAAGTTACGTTTCCTTGGCACGATGTATAAAGTTAGGAATACAACACTAATACATAAAAAAATCCGAGATCACCGATGAAATATTTATATAAACGGAAAAACGGATTAAAATTGCAAATCGAAAATGAAAACGCGATACAATATTGTTATTTCGAAATTATATTATAAATAATATTGTTTACTTATTTAAAGTAAACACTTACCAGCGTTATTCTCAAGATACGAGTTCTGCTCATTATGCATATAAACCCAGGATAAGTCATCAGTGTAATTAAAAATACTAGCACCACAAATTAATGTCAAGCTGTCCCCTACCGCTGCATCTACCCTGCTCTCCTTCTGAAATATATGGTTGTACGTTATCAAAAATATAGTAGAAGAAATTTTGACATATATATTTATTGCAAATTGTTTTAAATCTCAGGATTTAAAGATCCACAGTCGTTTTCATAAAAGTTATAACCAATATGAAGTTAAACACTAGCCTCATTACATTCATAATAAGGCCAATGGTTAACATGTGATGATTTCTTATAATCAGATATTTACTACAAATGCATTAGATAAATATATATAAACAGAGAAAGTATGAATTTTTTAATATACGAAATCTTCAACTTTTAAAAAAGCCCACAATGAACAAATATTGAAGATTTCGTATTATGACTAACTGTAAGTGAAAATCTATTCCTAATATTTACTATTTCTTGTGAGATATTTTTCGGTGCCGTTACGCTGCACGATTTCATTCAGAATCTTTATTCTGTCAATTTCGCGAATGAAATGTATTTGCATTTAAATAAAATAAACTTACTATAAGTTGATGAGGCGATGCCGGCCAAATGGAAAATCCATTTAGTATATCAGTGATGAAAAAATTCTCAGACATGTTTCTTGTTCCGAGTTCATTAGATCCAATACAGTATAAATGACCGGGCGTAGTCGCATTTATTCTTAATACGCTCGTCATAACATAAACTGATGAATGCGTCGTTTTATACCATTCGCTCTGAAAAAAATTCACGTTAATAAAATCATATGGAAAATTGAAATTAAATAAATTTGCTACTCACAGGTAAGGATACAGCTTCATTTTCACATTTAGGATAATTTGGACAGGATTGAAATTTCCAATTTACATTAGGCAGTGGGTATCCGGTAACATAACATTCAATCGTAGCAATTTCATTGACAAAATAATAATGTGTACTCTTTTCGGCAAAATACACTTCGGGATGAACTGAAAATTATGGATAATAATAATATAAATAATAAATGTTGATACATCTTATAATTAAACTAGCAAACCGGGCGAACTCCGTTTCACCACCAGATGGTTTCACTTTATGTAACATTTCGTTTGGTGATTAAAAGATGAAGAAAAAAATTTCCTGCTGTTGAAATTGAATAAAAATTTGCACAATACACGTGATTGATCTGATGGTTTCGAATTGAAATATTAGGAAACGAATAACTTATTTTTTTTACATTTTTTGCCAAATTTCACAGTGAACACAATGCCGGTTTGTCACATGAAATTAACTGGGCAGAAAACAATGAGTATCTGTCAAACAAATGAGTAGATGACGCTGTATGTGAAAAAAGAAAGCGTTTTCCGCGTTTCTGTTGAAATCTTTCTTCAATATTCTTTGCTATAAACCTCACGGAGTCCGAGACCGTTCCAACGAATGCAAAATCGTCGAAATCGGTTCGTGCGTTCTGGAGTTATATCGTCAGGAAGGAAAACCCGACTTATTTTTATATAATAGATAATCTTACCTTTAACAACAAGAGTAATATTTATAGAAGCTTCTGTATCAACGGTCATGGCTCGTAATTGATATGTTCCTGCATCTTCAATTTGGGCATTATTTATTTTGAAAAGACTAGAAGTTTGAGTATTGCGGATCTGGTAATGAGTGTTTGGTTTGCCCCAACTCGCTTCTATTTCGCGGCCCTTTGGATCATACCTGATTTATGAATAGAAAATGAATAAGCAATCGGCTCAAATACATATCACACACATACTTTTTCCATTTGATCTCATAAAATAATATCTTCATAGATAAATATATAAATACTATTTACCATATTAATTTGGGCGTAGGAAAAGCCTTAATTTTAATATTCCACTGGATATATGGATCACCAACTTTTGCTTCAATCTGTTTCCTTCCAGTCGGTTCTGTCAAATTTATAAATGACGTGTTTGGCTTGAATACTGTAATAAACCTAAAAACACATAGAAACATATTTAAAAAAATTATAACTAATGTAAAATCATAACACTGAATGAAGAAGCTGCAAATTGTTCGATATCATTATAGCCCTAATCGCAATTGACAAATACTTTATTAAAGTTATAAATAATATTAGATAGTATCGAAATAATTAACATTTATCATTCGTGAACTGTTAATTAAGAACTAATGATGTATGGTATTGTGCTTTAAGCCAAATTGCTGTAAATTACTGTTTTATAAAGATAAATATATAAACTCATTAAATAAACAAATTTTAGAATTAGGTCAAATTATGCATAAAAATACATTTTGAAATTTTCGAATAGGTATAGGTTTTGCTGTATTTAATATTTTTCAATCTTTTTCCCTTTATTTATTTTATACAAAAAATCTACGTTGATCTAAGGGAATTTACTTAATTGAAAAAATCTTAGCCATGATTCCCGAGAAAATATATTCACTGATTAGTGTACATAATATTCAATCAAAAACTATGAGGTCTCAGCAATTCGCGTCAAGCTATAGTGCTACAATACACCACTAATTCACAAAAAATAGTTACAATATAAGTTTTTTAAAGAAACTTCACAAACTTTTCAGCGTGATTCATATTCCCAGAGTTGTCGGAAACAGTGCATTTATAATAGCCTTCATCGTACGTAGTTACATTAGAAACTGTCAAAGTTGATTCTCCATGAAGAACATTGTTGATTTTATGTTGTTTAGTCTCGGATTGTGTTGTCCTCTCAGTCTAAAATATATTAACACTGTTTTGTTAATATAATTTTAGTTAATTAAATATTACTTTTCAAATAACAGGATATTTAAAAAAAACGAGGCTTTTAGTTTAGTCTAGCTGAACAACTATTAAAAATTCCAAGTAAAAGATGATTAAAAAGAAGTTAGGGAAAATTGATTAGTAGATCATTAGTAGTGGAGTGACTGACTATCATTAGTGAGAACGTGTGTTTTTATCATAGTAACATAGGAGGATACTGCTTATTCTGATTGCTGTTTATTTTTACAAGAATAAAAAATAGTAATAAATATGATACTCATATGGACAAGAATACTAAAATAATGTACTCACAGTTGTTATGTTGGGAGTAGTCCAAGTTAATTTAAATAAAACACCAAGCACTGTGAGGTTAACCCGACATTGGAGAACCAGGCTTGTTCCTTCTATAGCATGCCCCGAATTGGACCCTTCTTGGGTCACCACTGGTTTGGCCACTGATTCTGTACGTGCTAGAGTTTAACGTGTAAATTATTATATGATTATCTTCAATTATTAATATTGTAATATAATTACAATATTTATACACACATATGTAAGCAAATATATACAACAAACACATTTATTAGGACTACATAAATGCTGTGAATAATATAGCTTGATTAATAGCGTACGTGGAAATGCAATGAATCTAACTGCGATTTTAGTAAAAGTATAAAAGTTTTTTAACATTTTCCAGAAGAAATGAAATAGTCGTTGATGGTCAATTTTCATGAGCACTACAAATATATATAGGCATAAAATTGAAAAAAAGCTCTAGGAATCATAATATTTTATATACATATATTTATTTTGGGTATAGATTCAAGTTTTTAACAGAAGACTCAATTTTTGATGTTTTTTATAATTATTATTGAGTTCAATAATAAGAATCAATTCAAGTGTCGCATATTAAATTCGTACAAATCCAATCAGTCAATTTTCAAATTTGTTTATTTTTGATATTATTAAAGATGCTTAGGTAGATTTAATTTATAAATGAATTGGTAAATAATTTAAAGACTGTTTTGATCCGTTCTTCTGAACTTTTTACGGCTCTAATTGATAGTAAAAAGCAAATTATCTTAAGCATTTAACTAAATGGCTACACATTGAGGAATGTTACGACGCTAACACGGATAAGGAGGGTACTTCAGAAAACAGAAGTAGAGCTTATGACCTTATATAGAATAGTAAAATATCGAAAACAAACTTTAGAGGCAGATATGGTTAGTGGATAGTAACATAGTTAATGGAGAGTAGATGTCAGTACACAGATACAATAATGAGCCTACTCTTGTTTTTATAACATGTCAGCAATTATTATTCACATAACATAAAATATATAACCGAAAATACCAATATATAATAACATTTTGAACAAAGTAAGTGTGGCCTTACGGTAAGTTGTATAACCGAGAATAGGCCCATGAAAGTTAGTTGATACAGTGCGAGAGTTGGAATGAGAGCCAATTCCCAGAGTTCAGTTGCTAGCCCAAACCAAAATAAATTATATAGCAATAATTACATTTAGTAGTAAAAATTAGAAATAACTACAATTGGTAGTAGAAATTAGAAATAACTACATTTAGGAATAGTGAGGTAGGTTCCAATAAGTTCCGGAACGCGCCTAAACGTTCCGGCAAAAAAAACATTAAAAATCGCTACATACAAAAAATGATTTAATAAGTGAATTTTATAAATTATAATTACAATTTATTAAATGTTCCTATTATTGTAATAAACATAAATATATGTACACAAAATAGGTTTTATAATGATTTTTGTTTCTTTCTTTTTCGAACGGAACCGGAACAAACATGAAAACCGGTTTTTGAACCGATTCCTAAATTTTAGCGTTCCGACAAAATTTTTTTAGCACAGCACCACTGGTTCCAATAGCCTGCTATAAAAATATATGATATAAGATGAAAAATTGACTATATTACTATTATTTATACCTATACAGAATATATTTAAAAAGTATATCGAGGACTTCAGATTTTAAAATGCAACATAGTGTGATGTATGATGAATAACAGATTTATGTTTGTCATTGAAAATATGGACAGTGCGTTTGCAGAATTTATTAGAGAATGTATATTATTGGTGATAATTTAAAAAACAATTAGGATGTATTATAAAGGTTATGAGCAATGTCAACAAGAATTCTTGTTCACGTGAATTTTTATTCCGATATTCGTTCAATTTTTTTATTTATACATATTTTTATAAAAGGCATGATTACGCTCTACAGATCCATAAGTCTTTATTGACTTATGGAAATCAATTTTGAGTATGCTATCTTATATATTAAAATGAATCGCAAAATGTGTTGGCGCATAAATATAAATATAAATATAAATATAAATATAAGCGGATAACTCAACAACGCCTGGACCAATTTGGCAAATTCTTTTTTTAAAATGTTCGTTGAAGTCCAGGGATGGTTCTTACGGCGAGAAAAAATCGAATAATTGCCGGGAAAACTGCCGCTTTTCTTTTCCACATAGAAACGTTTTCTAACTAAAACGTAGAATCACTTAACGTTTCATATAGCATTTTATTCGTAATTTTAATCTTCATCTTTCGTCCGAACAAAGTTTTTTCGTATCTTTTACGGTTTGGATTGTATAGGAGAAATTTATGTGAATTCGATAGTTCACAGTTCACACTATTCGATATTTCTTTAAAGAAAACATACAGTATTATACATCGTTAGAAAGGTCTCAAAATTCTTAGATCTTTTCCCATATATCGCAACTTCGAATTCCTAACGGTGTGGCCTACAGGCGAGTTGCAGTAGTAAAATTCAAGAAAAACTGGAAAATCTCGAGAAAATCATATGAACACACTGAACGATTTATATATCATTTTATTCGTAATTTTATTCTGCATCTTTTATCCAAATAGAATGTTTTCGTTTCTATTACGGTTTAGCCTGTAGTATGGAATTTGTGTGAATATTCAATTGTTCAAATGCAAAGTACGGTTAGGTTTGAGCAATAAGTCATACTGTTCGATATTTATCTAAAAAACCCATATAAATTATTATATGAAACTCCAAGTCACAAGGACAGGCAGTGGACTTATTTTATTTATTTATTTACATATTTATTTATTTATTCATTTATTATACGCCAATCATGGCCTAATATACTATTAGCTATATGTGGCTTACTCGAGAAGTACAAACAATTTTGTTATTTATACATCTACAGGTCAGACAAAGAATATTGTATATCCCGTTAATTGATATATTAAAAATAAATTTGTTCTAAAAATGTCGTATAATATTATTTATATACAATGTTAATGAACATATTTCGATATTTCTATGTTTATTAACTAATTTTAACATGTTATATGCTGTGATGTAGCTGATTTGGTTTTTACTGTATAAGTGAAATTTAAGTGAAATTGTACATACATTTCTGTATAGACTGTAGAGTAAAAACACTTATGATTATTTTAAACTAAACGGTAAATACCAGTATAGGTTTTTAAAAAAAAAATTAAGTTTTTAGGGTACAGGACAACGTCTGTCGGGTCAGCTAAGTAGTAAATAAAATCAACGCTTACAATCCAAAGCTCTACGGTCGATTACTGACGACCCTGGTGTTTGTTAGTAACAAAATAGTAATTTTTAGGAAGGGCGGAGGGAACTAATGCGAACTGTTATGAACAAAAACCGTCTGAGGGCTTTCGCAATTTCAGCTCAGCATAGTATGAAAATCGTTTTCCCAGAGTAACGAGTTATGGGAGGTTCGACTGCATATATATACGTGTGCACAAGTTCAATACGCGTATGTATAAATGTTTAAACTTAACGTCAGTGCTAGGAGATAAGAAACATTATTTCTGCTCTTCACTGTATACGCCAGAAATGTGTATAATTTCAGCCCACAACGTAAATTTGAAATATAAATTGTTTACAATCATGCTTCAGTA